TTTCATCAGTGTTTTATAGTTTTCTATGTATAGGTCTTTTGTTTCTTTAGGTAGATATACTCCTAAGTATTTTATTCTTTTTGTTGCAATGGTGAATGGTATTGTTTCCTTAATTTCTCTTTCTGTTTTCTCATTGCCAAACTTTTATTTTTTTAAAGGTTAAGACTCATGTACATGTATACACATGTTGCTTTTTCCTCTTAATTTTCTTTAATGTCAAATGTGAATCTATACAGATATTAGCAGCAGATAATAGCACAACTGTATTTCATTGTATGTTAGTGAAATAAGTGGGGGGGTCATTTATAGTTGGTGTTTAGGTTTTATCCAGTTTTTCTGTTTTGATAAATTTGAAATGATTTCTTGCTAAGTGTGGAAATGTTCACTATTCTAACTTGGACTTGGCTTTCTCTTTCCGTCCTCAACCAAAACCTGGAACACATAGGTAGTTCCTCGATGTCCTAGATGCCCAGCTGATGAACCGCTTGCTATCATGAAACCAGAGATTGTCTTTTTTGGTGAAAATTTACCAGAACAGTTTCATAGAGCCATGAAGTATGACAAAGATGAAGTTGATCTTCTCATTGTTATTGGATCTTCCCTGAAAGTAAGACCAGTAGCACTAATTCCAAGTAAGTTGGTAATGATTTCTAGAGATCCATTTCTGTATATTTTGCCATGTGTTGTGGGTATGTAGAGTGTACCCCAGTGGTCTGTTTTTCATTAAGAGTGGTAAAGAGCCAAACTTTAGTTTTTAAAGGTGACATATTCTTGTTCATGAAGATTGTTTAATATGAAATTTCAATGGGAATAGAGGGTTTTCAAAACAGAAGTAATAACAAAGGGAAATACTTCAAAGTAACTTTTCAATGGGATGTGTTTTTAATGCAGTAGGAGTTCACATCAACTAATTTACATATACATGGGAAACATGAAAAATAATCTATTTTAATCTTAATTTGAGCCTGTTGCTAATGTTTCACATTCTACAGCTGTTCAGATGTACAGCTTGATATTGTGTAAGTACTCATGTAAGATAGAATTTTGGGACTCAAAATGATTGTTTTTGTAAGAACAGTCATAAGCATTATATGTAGATCAGCTCTAACCAGAAGGGTGTTCATATGTATAAAAATGCTCAAATACAACTGAATTCCCTGTTGAAATATTCTCAGGAATATTTCTTTAACCCATGCTCCTATGCTACATTTTTTCTCCCTCTAGTGAGCAAGTAAGGGGGAGGAGGATAGAGGGGCTAATTCAGTGGCATCACTTGTGCCATAAAAGTGAGGGAAGGGGCAGAGGAGAGAATATCAAACCCTTAACGAGAGAATTAGACCCTCACACCAGCAAATACGCAGCTACCGTAAACTGCTGCTTTAATAGAAACTATTCATGTAGATTATAGGACAGTTTGTAACTAAAAAGAAAATTTAATGTCTAAGCTTAGTTTTGAGTTATTTTTTTCTATTTAAACATAGAGCAAGAACTTCTGACAGACTTTCTGTAGGATAGTATAATGTGTTGGTGATACTAGGCAAAAGTGGAGAGTAGACTGATATAAACTTTTACTCTTTATATCAGAAGCCATTTAAGTAGAGAAAATTCTCACCTACTAAGAGCCAAGAACTTTGCATATTATGTCACTTACTCCTCACTGCAATCTTGTGGAGCAGTAGTTAACCTATTATACAGACGAGGAAACTGAACACAGAATGTAGACGTTTCAGGCAGTTGCCCAGAGGTAATCAAGTGATAGAAGAAATTTTGCTGCTCATTTATTGACTTAATAGTGTGATGGTATATAATAGCTTGATTAGAGTTGCGTGTCTTTTTTTGGTATTGGAGAGCATTAGATTTTCTTTTGGCTTGCAGGAACTTATTTCCCTGAGCAGGAATAGGACCCTGGCCATGGCAGTGAAAGCAGAGTCCTAACCACTGAACTTGCCAGGAAATTCCCTGTTAAGATTTTACATATTGTGTTTGTTTTGGTTTTATAAGTGCACCTCCCTTCTTTTCTCTAATTCTTTATTTTTTCACTCTAATCTTAGGTTCCATACCCCATGAAGTGCCTCAGATATTAATTAATAGGGAACCTTTGCCTCATCTGCATTTTGATGTAGAGCTTCTTGGAGACTGTGACGTAATTATCAATGAACTGTGTCATAGGTTAGGTGGTGAATATGCCAAACTTTGCTGTAACCCTGTGAAGCTTTCAGAAATTACCGAAAAACCTCCTCGAATACAAAAAGAGTTGGCACATTTGTCAGAATTGCCACCCACACCCCTCAATATTTCAGAAGGCTCAAGTTCACCCGAAAGAACTTCACCACCAGATTCTTCAGTGATTATCACTCTTTTAGACCAAGAAACAAAGAGTAAGGTTGAAGATCCAGATGTGTCTGAAATAAAAGACTGTGTCACAGAAAAATCACAGGAAGTACAGACTTCTACTAGGAGCACTGAAAGTGTTAATGACCAGTTGGAGAGTCCAGATTTGAAGAATGCGGTCTCCAGTAGTGGTGAGAAAAATGAAAGAACTTCAGGTGCTGAAACAGTGAGAAAATGCTGGCCGGCTAGACTTGCAAAGGAGCAGATTAGTAAACGCCTTGATGGTAAGAAAGGTTGTTGGGCCGTTTTGAGGGTATAACTATTATTTTTTTTGTAAATTTATTTATTTTCATTGGAGGCTAATTACTTTCCAATATTGTAGTGGTTTTTGCCATACATTCACATGAATCAGCCATGGGTGTACTCGTGTCCCACATCCTGAACCCCCCTCCCACCTCCCTCCCCATCCCATCCCTCTGGGTCATCCCAGTGATCAGCCCCGAGCACCCTGTCTCATGCATCAAACCTGGACTGGTGATCTGTTTCACATATGGTAATATACATGTTTCAGTGCTATTCTCTCACATCATCCAACCCTCGCTTTCTCTCAGAGTCCAAAAGTCTGTTCTTTACATGAATCTCTCTTGTGGTCTTGTGTACAGGGTCATCGTTACCATCTTTCTAAATTCCATATATCTGTGTTACTATACTGTATTGGTGTTTTTCTTTCTGACTGACTTCACTCTGTATAATAGGCTCCAGTTTCAATGGAATATTTGCAGGAAGTGAGCAATTTTGGCAACCTAGTTAGTGTGAACTTCATGCAGCTAAATTTTAATAGCTGATTGTGTTTAGAGAAACTGAAGTTGAGGTTTTAAGCTAGAAAAAGATAAACAGTATCTTCAGTAATATGGGGAAGAAATGGTATCCAACAGTGTCCTGTACCTTGAGTTTCCCTAGGAGTGAGAAGTTACGCATTTAATTGGGGACTACTGAGTGCTCCGCTGTTTCTGCTAAGAGCTTTAGATGGTGAAAATGATCAAGATTTGGTCCTTACTGAGGGTCAGTGATTTGACATATTTTCTGATTTCAGTATCTGATTTCAGTTAGGCAGGAAACTGTTACTTCTCAGGTACAGGTGGGAAAATGAGGACCAGTGAGGTTAAATCCCCTAAGGACACAACTCAAGTGTAGGAGAGCCGGGTAGATTCCAGCTTCTGTTAGCCTGTTGTCTCAGATCTAGGGAAACAGCTGGCTCTTCTCCACTGACTGTCAGAAATAGCATCCGCTCTGTTTTGACTCACGGAAAGTCCTTACCAGTTTGTATCAACATAGGTGGAATCACTTTCTAACTTTTAAAACCACTTACGCACAAGTATTAACCTATGGTGAAAAACCCTAATTAAGACAGAAAATTGTGCTCTTAGATGCAACAGTTTTGTACTGCTTAAAACACTCTCTCACCATACATTGTGAAAACTGGCAAGAAATTTTAGACAAATGTATTACATGTTCATTTGCCATAAATAAATTTTAGTTCAGTTGAATAAGCCTTTGGGTATTCCAAACTAGGACTGCAGCAAGTTCTGGAAACACTCATCCAAGCAACTGATATTTGTGTATAATTACAAAAATGGGTGAATGGGAAAAAAATAGGTGAGAATTTTAAAAGGTAGATGCTGCTTAGTGGGCACTAGGTTATAGAAGGCTTTAACTGTAAGTTGGTGAAGTCTTCCATGGGGAAAATTAGAAAAAGTATAGAAGAATACTTACGCTTGTCAATGTGGCAAAAGTCAGAAGTAGAAAAATTGCTGTTGATTGAGTCAGCTAAGTCTGTCGTATACACAGTCTGCTTGTGTGTTGGTCCTTTGTGTCTCGACTCGTTTTTGATCCCATGGACCTGTAGCCTGCCAGGCCCCTCTGCCCATTGCATTCTCCAGGCAGGAACACTAGAGTGAGTTGTCATTTCCTTCTCCAAACTCTGCTTAGGCACTCACAATATTCTTTGGCTCTTTTTTGACAGATGGGTCAAACGTATAAAATTCTGCCCCAGAAACTGGTATACCTTGGTTTTATTCGGCTAATTTAGACCTTTAAAGATACAGGCTTCTGAATTTGATCTACCTCTCATAGCATTGTGAGCATTTGAAAAGATAACTGATGTAAAGAATGTAAAACTTAACATTTTTAACTGTTTAAACCAAACAACTGGAGTTTACTCATTTTAGTTTGTTGTGAGGTCAGGGCTGAAAAGGAGGAAGTTGGAGCATGTAAGAAATAAAATGAATATCTTTTTTTTTTTTTTTTAAATGTGAATATCTTAAAGGTAAGATTGCCAAGAGGACAAAAACAGGTGCAGGGTACTTGGATGGAGAAATGGATTGTTCAGTTCTTCAGGGGGCCGGAGCAGAATGAACTGGTTTTTAATAAACCTGTAAAAGGGCAGGACAGCCATGTGCTGGGACTGCTTAGAAGACTGGCTTCTAGGATGTGATTCAGAGGAGATGGTCCTGTTAGAATCACTAGATGTTGTCTGTCAGCAGCTAGAATGCAGGTACTCAAGTCCCTTCTCCAATCACTGACACAATGTGGTTTTCACACTGCAAAACATGCAGAGTGAGAACTGGGTCAAGGCAGGGTCTTGATGGGGAATACATGTAAATCCATGGCTGATTCATGTCAATGTATGGCAAAAACCACTACAATATTGTAAAGTAATTAGCTTTCAACTAATAAAAATAAATGAAAAAAATATATATTTAAACCAAAAAAAAAAAACCTTGGAAGTCATTTTGAAGAGAAACTTAAGTATATATTACTCCAGATGAACCCTGTAGTAGTCAGCTTTTGTGAATCAGTCTGGGCTCTTAAGAGGAACACCCTTGACCTGGGAGAGAGTCACTCTCTGCTTAGAAGAGAGAGGGGAAGGCTCCTCACCATGAGAGGTCAAATCTTATACTGCGAATGCTAATTTGGGAGGGCTTTACAAAAGAAAGCTTAATAGTACTTCTCACACTTTAACATGATAGGACTCAGAAAAATAGCTTCTGATTGAGAGGGTGGGTGGTAGCTGGATACTTCATCTCACCAAATCTCAAAGGAGTTGGTTAAGTAAGCTTCGTTGAACATGGCTCTCTACAATTTTTTTTTTCATACTTACCTCATAGGGTCTGAAAATTACTTCATACCCAGATGAGGAGATTGAGGCACAGAGATAACACTTCCAATTTGCGAAGTTTATGAGTGGCAGAACTAAGATTTCTACCCAGGACTGAGTGCCTTTATAGCTTGGTTTTGAGAAACTGTATATAATAATAGCCTCTAGTAGTGATACTCAGGTAAAAGTTTAGAACCTACACTTATCTAAACAGCACAATCAGACTAAGTCTTAGAAAACTGGAAATAACCCATTTCTCTCCTATTACTGTATTTCAGATAATCAGTATCTGTTTATACCACCAAACCGTTATATTTTCCATGGCGCTGAGGTGTATTCAGACTCTGAAGATGATGTCTTATCCTCTAGTTCTTGCGGCAGTAACAGTGATAGTGGAACATGCCAGAGTCCAAGTTTAGAAGAACCCATGGAGGATGAAAGTGAGAATGAAGAATTTTACAATGGTTTGGAAGATGATGTTGATGAGAGCGCTGGAGGAACTGTATTTGAAGCTGATGGAGGTGATCAAGAGGCAGTTAATGAAGCTATATCCGTGAAACAGGAAGCAACATGCATTAACTATCCATCAAACAAATCATAATGTAGTAATTGTCCAGGTACAGAAATTGTTCCACCAGCATTAGGATCTTTAGCATGTCAAGTTGAATGTTTACTTGTGAACTCAATAGAGCAAAGAAACCAGAAAGGTATAATATTTATAGACTGGTAAAACAGATTTCCCCCCAATGGGTAATTTTTAACTCCTTATTTCTGTGCTTATACACTCAAACACTAACTTTTTTTTTTTAAACAAAGGTACGCAAGTATCTTTAGTCAGCTATTGGACTAGACTTTCTGTTAAAGGTTCATTTGTATGATACATCGACATGTATATATAATTTTGTTTTTGCCTAGTGAGTTTCAACATTTCAGAGTTTTCAAAAAGCCATTGGAATGTTAAAGGGAACAGCTTATCTAGACCAAAGAATGGTATTTTCACACTTTTCTTTGTAACATTGAATGGTTTGAAATCCTCAAATCTCTGTTCTGCTAAACGTTTGATTCTTTATTAGCACAATTACCTATTTTTAAACACTGGCATTTTCCAAAACTTGTGGCAGCTAACTTTTTAAAAATCTCATGACATGCAATGTGAGAAGGAAGTCAACAATATGTGGGAGAGCACTCAGTTGTCTTTGCTTTCTTAAAATGAGACTTGGTGCTAACAGTTTCAGAAGTGTATCGTTCAAATGAAGATGGCTTTTGTACTTCCTGTGGACATGTAGTAATGTCTATATTGGCTCATAAAACCAACTTAAAAAATATATGCTTTGGAAATGTTTCAGTTGCTTTAGAAACAATAGTACCTGCCTGGGTCCCCTTAGTTTTGAGAATATTTGCCATTGTTGTTTAAATACCTATCACTGTGGTAGAGCTTGCATTGATCCTTTCCACAAGTATTAAACTGCCAATGTGAATCTGCAAAGCCTTTATGAATCAATATAAATGGTACTTCAACTGGGGAGAGTGTAATATTTTGGACTGTTGCCTTTTTTCCCCATTAATGAGAGCAACAGACCCCGATTACGGTTCCAAAGCCAGTGAGTACATGTTTCCTGTTGGGAGGACTTGGTGTAGGAAACACCAAACATACTAGCCTAGTATTATGGAGATGAACGTGATGTAACTTGTTAATAGCAGAATAGTTAATGAAACTAGTTCCTATAATATATTTAAAAGCTTAGCCTGCCTTAAAACTAGAGAACAACTTTTTCAGCTGCAGAAGCTTCTAGCCTTTCAACAAAAGTTCATACTTTATAAAATTGCACAGTAATGATTAATTTTCCAGGCCTTTCCCCAACATTGCTTTCAAATAAAGAATTTTTATGTTGCTTTAGTATTTATTACAGTTTAACAAGGGTTTGAAATACAGCTGTTCTTTAAGCTTAAAATACCCAGCTTAGGACCATTACTGCCAGAGAAAAAAAATTTTATTGAATGACCATTTCCCTACCTAAAAGATGTTTCAATCTGAATTTATTTGACTACACTAAAGAATGCAGTATAATATTTAGTTTTCCATTTGCATGATCTGTGTTTGTGCTATAGATGATATTTTAAATTGAAAAATTTGTTTTAAATTATTTTTACAGTGAAGACTGTTTTCAGCTCTTTTTATATTGTACATAGTCTTTTATGTAATCTACTGGCATATGTTTTGTAGACTGTTTAATGACTGGATATCTTCCTCAAACTTTTGAAATACAAAACCAGTGTTTTATACTTGTACACTGTTTTAAAAGTCTATTAAAATTGTCATTTGACTTTTTTCTGTTAGCTTACATTGTTTAAGGTAAAAACTTTAAAAATTGTGCAGCTTTTATACAGCTTTGAGGGCTATTAGATGCTACATTTTTTTTTAGTTTATATACAACAGTTAATACTAAAATAGTACTAAAAGTGCTGGTTGTAGTAACTGGTACATCACCAAAACGTTTCAACTGTTCTAGACCAGGAGCCTTCCCCCCTTACTAACCCTGCCTAAGAATAACTGGGAAAGGTTGAAGGCAAGAGGAGGAGGCAGAGGATGAGATCTGAGCAAGCAGCAGAATCTGCGCACGTTCCGGGAGATACTAGAGGATGAGAGAGGAGCCTGGCGTGCTGAAGTCCATGGGGTTGCAGAGTTGGATATGAGTTAGCAACTAAAAGAACAGCTAATTTTTTACATGAAACACTTGACAAAGGACCAGGACTTTGGGATTGGGGGGGGTGAGGGAATGGTGGAACTGTAGTGAACTCAAGACCCAAAGGAGTAGACAAAAAATGACTTGATCATATTTGGTGTGAACTTTCTTAAGGTGACCCAGAAATCTAGTATTCAGGAGGGCAGAAACATGCCCCTTTACAAAGACGTAATGAATGAATGTGGCAGTTTCCTGCCTTCAGGTCTCTTTTTGAAGTGAACTAAACAATTCAAAAAACTCTCTTCCCCTGTATATCTTGTTTGCACTAGAAAAAGTACCTGTGAAATCCTATATATGCAGAAAATAGAAAAGCAGTTCTTAATAAGGAGGGTATGTGGTCATTTCAAGTAATTGAAAACCTAGCAAAACCTGACTTTATACACATTGTTAATCAGCATCTTCCTCACTGGCACAAAAGAATTATGTACCTTCACCTACCTGCTAAGCATTATCTGATAAATTTTATTTGAAACAAGTTTCGGCTCCTAATCAAAAGCTCTCCCACTCCTTAAAAATGAAGTTACCCTTAGGATGCTAGGAGAAATGGTCTCATGACACCCCTCCCTCCCACCCCCCAACAGGGATTAAAAATAACCTGGGGAATTTTGGAAAGTAATCTCTTAAGAGATGACATCTAACTGGTCAAAGGTGGAGTTTACATAATAGTAAAAAGTAGCCCCAGGTGACTTAAGAGTTGAGAAGTGAAAGGAATAGGGTGAGTTCCTTCTGCATTTAACCCTCCATTCAGTATGGCTGGCCCAACAGGGAAAGTAAGGTAGACTTACATAAAACAGACTAATCCCCAGTTTATACCTAGTAATGTTACAATGTGGGAGCAGGGAGCTACTGAATTACTGAGAAAGGAGGCCAAAATGAACGTAAGGAGTTTGGATGGCCAACAGCCCAGAGGCTGGGGATAGGAAGAAGTTGAGAGCAAGACCATTTTGCCTTTGCTTTCAGAGAATTCACCGTATGCAGGGGAAGACTGCCTTAGGCATATTACACACCATCATAAGACCTTGTTCAACTAAATGCAGTGAAAATCTTAGATAATGCAGGCAAAAACATGTTAGAAGTCAATCCCTGTGCAAAGGCTGGGGTTCTCAGTTTTGAAAACTACATTGTGGTTTTATTTCATGCCAGTTTAAAGGCTTGTATTGGGTCTACTGCCTTCTCTGAACAATGGCTATCAGTTAAAATTACTACTGACTTAAGGCATTAAAGACAATTACTCTTACAAATGTGGAGGCCAAATGTTTTCAAAGGTTAAGCCAATTCAACAATCATGGTCCTTAAAATTTAATGAACTCAGTATTTGCCTACTTTCTAATCTATCAACTCAGTCGTGTCCAACTCTGCAACCCCATGGACCAGCACACCAGGCTTCCCTGTCCATCACCAACTCCAAGAGCTTGCTCAAACTCATGTCCATCGAGTCAGTGACGCCATCCAACCATCTCATCCTCTGTCATCCCTTTCTTCTCCAGCCTTCAATCTTTCCCAGCATCAGGGTTGTTTCAAATCAATCAGTTCTTCGCATCAGGTGGCCAAAGTATTGGAGCTTCAGTATCAGTCCTTCCAATGAATATTCAGGACTGATTTCCTTTAGTACTGACTGGCTGGATCTTCTTGCAGTCCAAGGGACTCCCAAGAGTCTTCCCCAACGCCACAGTTCAAAAGCGTCAATTCTTTGGCGCTCAGCCTTCTGTATGGTCCAACTCTCACAGCCATACATGACCACTGGAAAAACCATAGCTTTGACTGGATGGACCTTTCTTGGCAAAGTAATGTCTGTGCTTTTTAATATGCTAAGTTGGTCATAGCTTTTCTTCCAAGGAGCAAGCATCTTTTAATTTCATGACTGCAGTTACCATCTGCAGTGATTTTTGAAAAGTAAAAGTGAAGTCGCTCAGTCGTGTCCGACTCTTTGCGACCCTGTGGACTATAGCCCACCAGGCTTCCCCATCCATGGGATTCTCCAGGCAGGAATACTGGAGTGGGTTGCCATTTCCTTCTCCAGGGGATCTTCCCAACCCAGGGACTGAACCTAGGACACTTTAACCTGAGCCATCAGGGAAGCCCCATTTAGGAGCCCCCCAAAATGAAGTCTCTCACTGTTCCCATTGTTTGCCCATCTATTTGCCATGAAGTGATGGGACTGGATGCAATGATCATTTTTTGAATGTTGAGTTTTAAACCAGCTTTTTCCCTCTCCTCTTTCACCTTCATCAAGAGGCTCTTTTAGTTCCTCTTCACTTTCTGCCATAAGGGTGGTGTCATCTGCATATCTGAGGTTATTGATAATTCTCCCTGAAATCTTGATTCCAGCTGGTGCTTCAACCAGCCCAACATTTCACATGATGTTCTCTGCATATAAATTAAATAAGCAGAGTGACAGTAAACAGCCCTGATGTACTTCTTTCCTGATTTGGAACCAGTCTTGTTTCAGGTCCAAGTCTTAACTGTTGCTACCTGACCTGCATACAGATTTCTCAGGAGGCAGGTCAGGTGGTCTGGTATTCCCATCTCTTTAAGCATTTTCCACAGTTTATTGTAATCCACACAGTCAAAGGCTTTGGTGTAGTCAATAAAGCAGAAGTAGATGTTTTTCTGGAACTCTCTTGCTTTTTTGATGACCCAACAGATGTTGGCAATTTGATCTCTGGTTCCTCTGCCTTTTCTAAATCCAGCTTGAACATCTGAAGTTCACGGTTCACGTTCTGTTGAAGCCTGGCTTTGAGAATTTTGAGCATTACTTTGCTAGCATGTGAGAGGAGTGCAATTGTGCGGTAGTTGGAACATTCTTTGGCATTGCCTTTCTTTGGGATTGAAATGAAAACTGACCTTTTCCAGTCCTGTGGCCACAGCTGAGTTTTCTAAATTTGCTGGCATATGGAGTGCAGCACTTTCACAGCATCATCTTTTAGGGTTTAAAATAGCTCGACTGGAATTCATTCACCTCCACTAGCTTTGTTCATAGTGATGTGTCCTAAGGCCCACTTGACTTCACATTCCAGGATGTGTGATTCTAGGTGAGTGATCACACCATTGTGGTTATCTGGGTCATTAAGATGTTTTTTTGTATAGTTCTGTGTATTCTTGCTATAACTTCTTAGTATCTGCTTAAGTCCAAACCATTTCTAATCTGTAAAGCTTGGTATTTTTGTTACTTTTAAAAAGCAGCAAACAGCAATTTGAAAAATTTTCAATGGTATTTTTTCCCATGAATCTCCCTGCTGTTAATTCTACTGTAGGTCTGCAGTAACAGGGAGGAAAATAATACCAGAGTTACCCAAATTATGCCTTGCATTGTTGTATTCCCAGATAACAAGTCAGGCCTTGTTAAAACACCTGTTCAATGAACTCTACCTGTATTAATCCAAAGTGGCTGCTATTTTACAGACAAGCTTCATAGGAAATAGAGGTTACTAAGAAACCTGACACACACATCTGCCAGGGTCCACCTTCAGCAGGATCCAGGGGGTACCCTCAGGATGAATGGCATCGGCGAGAGAGAGAGGACACGTGAGACCAGCCTTGATAGGGCCAAGTCTCAGGATGACGAGACAGAGAGAGTGACCAGACCGGGGGTGTTTGCAGCAGGGTCTAGCAGAGTCTGGCAATCCTTTATTTTTTACCATAGCTTTTATACCCTAAGTTAGTACATTTCTAAGGGCAAGACAGTTTAACATTATATCAGCTTGTCCTTCACGAAACCAGGGTGTTTTCTGCATACTTCTTTGTTTATGAGTGTCTGTTATCTTCTGGCCTTGGGGCCTATTAACATTTTATGCAGGTCAGGTGAATGTAAACCTATTTTCTGTTTCTATGGTGACCTTAACTGAAAGGTAGCAGTCTCATAGGGCAACAGTACAGAGTAGAAGTATAACCTTGTTAACACAAAAATTAATCCTTCTGCAGAAGTTGTCAGTTGCGTTTATCTAAGAAGTTTACCCCACACAGACTCTGTGACTTTCGTGAGGCAGCAATTAACAACCATCTCATTGTTACCACACTAGGGCTAAGCTCTTATTTCTCTAGATCTTTAACTATATTAACAATGGTTTCTATAACAACCTTAGCACATTAAAAGCAAAAACACAGCAAGCAAACATCAACCCAGTAACCACCTTTAGAATAATTTTTCTTATGTTTTCTAATAGGGCTTCCTCACTCCCCGAAGGGCTCTATGTCTACTAGGGCCTTTATATGATAAGGTTCTTTATGCTATTTTATGATTAGGGTATTATGGGCAATCATGCATATTAGTACCAAGGGCATAAACGCATTTGCCAAACAAACTAAAATACCAGCAAAGGAGTCTAAATTAAAACACTCACCCTGGATAATCTCATAAAATACCAACCACCCAGGAAACTTATTAAAGTTCTAAATTGATTCTTATTTGGGAAGGCCTTCTGCCTGTGTCACAGAAATTAAGGAGTACTCTTGAAGCAAGCACCAGAAAGACAGATACCATCTTCAAGGTGAGCACTGGGGGGGCAGCTTTTCGGAATCCCTGCCTGTCAGCCTTTGTCATGGGTGGGATCTCGTGTGCTGGCTCCGGCACACATCTAAGTTTTCAATGTAAACAATCAATAGCCTGAAGGAATGGATGTGCACAGAAACAGTATAATACCAGATACCTGGAAGAATTTTACTGGGAAAAATGTCACTTTAAGGACAATTATTAAGGCTTTTATTAAAAGCCTATTAAAAAACACGAGAAGTTTAACTTAAACTAGTGAAAAGTACAATCCCTTTTCCAAAACCCCTGGACTCATTTGCGTTTTGGAATTATGAATGTTAAAAGAATTTTTAAAGCACACAAAGTGTAGCACCCCACACAGATCCGGCAGCACCCAGATCAAACACAAAACAAACACCAACACTGCCACAGTCAAATGTGCAAACAGTCCCATCTAGTCCTATTTAATATCATAAACACCCTCAACAATGAGGTCAGGTTTTGCTGCAAAGTGATGTAGCACCCGCCTCCCCCCAACCCCCGCCCCGAGTTGTTCTGGGTTTTAGAATTACAGGTAAGGAGACTTGGGAGCGTCTATAAAACAGATAAATTTGTATGGGAATGGGAACTATCTGTCCAAAATTTAAGAGACCTTCTCTTAGATATTACTGTTTTTGAAGAATTTTGACTCTTATATGAGAACCAGTGAAAGTTTAAATATTAGGCCAATAAACCTTTATTATTTAAACAGTTTTCATGGCATTTAAAAAATAAATTTAAAAAATAAATATTTGCATTATAGCAGAAAGTCACATGTGTTGCATCACTCACTGTTACAATTTAATGAGATAACTAAGCATCAGCACCATAAAACTTAAAGATCTGTTAAGATTTGTCTCTTAAAATTCAAGTAAATGTTTCTGAAGCACTGAAAATTCTCTTTAAATACCAACCTGCAGCATCAATAGTTTTAAAAGCTTTAACCCAATGATTGGTTCTCATAGTCAACGACTATATTTCCAGCAACTGGACAGAGTTCTTCCATTACTAAATATTAAGCTTTCTGACAACTTCCCATTTATCAATTATATCTCAAGACTCATAAAAAGAACTATATGTTAATCAGGTAAATCCTATTTGTAATTTAGATTTGCACAAGGACATTATTCTAGCAAAAAAGCAAAGACTATATTTTCCACCATGCTAATTTTTTGCCTTCATAGATTGTCAGAATAAGATTTGTAATCTCAGTTCAAGTACAACCAGAGAAACTGCACTGGTATCAGAACATAACTATTTTATTACAAAACTTTAACATTATTTACAAAATGAAAAAATAATCGAATGACTATTGCAGGCCAAAGTTAAAGGCTTCTCATCCGTGATTGAAGAAAAATTAAGCAACATTTTCATGCACTCACACACCAGATCATTTGTGAAATATGCAAACTCTTAAAATTTATGTTAGTAAAACCTCAATGTAGTCACAACACTTGTATGTTTATTAGAAGATGGCAAAAAAAAAAAAACCCCATGGTTCTGTACAGTGTTTAATATTAACACAGTCTGTTCATCTCTTTTAATATTTTTTGGCTTTCATGAATACTCACTGCATCGAACATTTTGCAAGTAAGAATTGTAATAGTACCTCTATCACCTTGCTGAATTCATCACCACAACAAAAACACAAATAATTAGTTTAATGCTTTTGCAGTAAACTGAATAGTTGTAACTCCAAAGTTATATTAAACTGAAGCCTTCATTGTGATCAATAGCTTGAATCAGTTTAGAGCGTAGAGTTTCTTTGTCTGTATATTTTGGAAGATCCAGAAGATTAAAACAGGTATGGGAAACTGGGAGATATTCCTCACCACCTCCTGTTGACTGGATGACTAGTATTAGACTCTTCATACCAAGAATGGGAATGCGATCACTACCTGTCAAAAATACTGCCAAGAAAAGAATCATTGAGTGAACCAACTACTTTTATCAACAATAAAAGTTTTAAACAACAATATGGAGTATCAAGTTACTTAAACAATCACTTATAGCAAAGCTTTACAGTAACATTTGCTCTAAGGTGTAAGCCTATCCCCAGAATTTGTGGAAGCATGATTCTGAGATACATCCAGTCTTTTTTCCTCAGTATTTTTTCTTTAAAAGTGTCATCTTAACATCAACACACAGAAAGGCTTAATATATGTTTGATACATGAATGACTGCTGTCCTTAATAAAAACATTTTGGGAGCCCCTCTTTTTTGAAAAGAGTAAAGCTATTTATTAAAAACACATGCAGTTTTGATTATAATTCCTTTCCTATTTGTCTTGCCATCTTTAAACAAATTCATACTTGGAAGCCAAAATTAAAATTGCTTTAAGAATGACCTGTCATCCTATGATAAGCAAAACAGACACAGATTAGGCATTAAGTTCAGGAACAGGAAAGTTCTATTTTCTACACCAACTACCAAAGTTTTCATACTGAAGCAAAGAAAGGAAACTGAAGACTGAAAACAGTTATACTACAGAGATCTTTTTAAAATCTAAAGAATGTAGATTTTAAAAAATTACTCTGAAAATTAAAAACAGGACCTTGAATAATACAGAAAAACCCAACAAAGTGAATCAATTAGTCTAAGTTCAATAATTAGACTCCATTCTCATAAAACACAGAATTAGAAATACTTACACAAAAATTGTTTTTTCTTTTCCAATGGTAATTCGTGAAATACTTCCCAGAACATTTTTATTGTAGGATGTTCTGCCCAATATTCTCCTTTGTATTCTGTATTCTAAAAACAGCATAATCTTCTATTAATATTAAGGGATATTAGTTTTATCTTGAATCTGACAACTGGCTTCCTTAGCACAGAAAATTAACACTATCCAAGAGTTTGAAACTCATGTAATTCAGTTAATTATTACTTCCTGGGTATTTTGCAACTTGGAACTATTAGTTCCAGAGGAAAGGGAAGAAAATATGTATGAATCTGCAGAAACATCTCCCATGCTCCCAATTCAAAGAACATGATGTGATAGTAATATCATTTTCCAAAGTAAATATCTAAAGGATAAACCAAAATTAATGAAAGGCTAGCGGACTATTCAAGTTTAACACGGAATTAATTATCTGTAATAATCATGAAATTTTCTTTCCCTATATTGAACACAAGTCATAAGAATTATTTTGTATTATCCCATCTTCTCTTTAAAACATAAATGGTTCTAAGAGCAACACTAACAATTTTCTGTGGTAGTTTCCAAGAGGCCCTCAAAGATCTCTGCCTCCTGCTATTCATGGCCATGTCCGTCCCCCCCGCAACACTGAATAGGCTTGACCTCATTAGGATAGTGCAGATGTGAGAATACATGACTTCTGAGGCTAATCTTAAACAACTTGTATGGCTTTAGCTTTTTGATCACTCACCCCCAGGGGGAGCTAGCTGCCATTTCATGGAGACATTAAAACCACCCTACTCTCCTCCTCAAGCTGAGATCCTGAGGCCTTTGGTCCACAGCCATCTTGGAAGGGGAATTCTATCCAGCCATCTTCGGATGACTAAAGGCACTAGCTGGTACTTCGACTGCAACCTCATGAAAGATCTCCGAGTTTAAAATCACTGGACTAAACCACTTCTGAATTCTTGACCCACAGAAACTATGTGAGACAACAAATGTTCATCTTTAAGCCACTAAGTTTTGGTGCAACAAAACAGCGAATATATTTCCCAAACACTCCTCCTTTCTTTGTTCATCGGATTAATTTTTACTTATCCTTTAAGTTCAGATTAAATGTCACCTAATTCACTCATTGGCTCATTAGACAAATATATAATGAGATTCAGTCAAAGTCGGGAGTCCTGGGGAAACTGCAGTGAACAAAGTTCTTACCTGGTAGAGATTCCCATTGAGTTGAGAGGCTTTCCCTGTTTGTGTAGGTTTCAACTTATGTATCACTCACTAAACTCTCTTCCTTTATATTCATCGCAGTTCAATTATTTAATGTCCAGCCTCCTTACCAGAGGAGAAAGACCATGTCTCAAGCTTATTTACTGCAGTCTTCCTAATCTCTTGCATAGTATTAGGCATCTAGTAGAGGCTCAGTGAAGATTTATTTTCAGGTTCTTGAATTTGGAGCTCTATTTGTAGCCATGATTATCTCAATGACTGAACTCAAGAAATCGACAACATATCTGCTATTAATTTACAAACAGATTTGGAGATAATGGCTTCAATTCTAGCAATCAGCTAAAGTATTAACTTGTTTGAATTGAAGATTATGAGTATGTTAGTGGGGAAATGAAAGGTGGTTGACTTTTTTTTACTTCCTTTTTTTAAACCACAAAATGGTACTGGGGAAATGTGCACAGTCCTGATGAAGAACATTTAAAGTCACAAGTCATAATTAGTGAAATTATAATGAATCAGATCAGTGGGAGAAACTAAGTATACTAAGTACACTAAAATATACTTTTAAAAAGTGTCCTGTCTGACTGACAAGGTTTTAAGTGCTTGCTGAATGCCCTTCTAGGCTCTGGGAACACAGCAGTGAATAGACAAATATCCTGACAGCAGTGAACAAAGAGACAAAAATCCTGCAGTTATAGTGCTTACACTGGAGTGGGGAGTAAGGAGCAGCAGACAGTAAAGACAATTAAGTAAAATTTTATTTAGTCAAATTTAGAGAAGAGAAGAGAGAAGGAAGATGGGGGTATGTATGTGTGTGTACATATGCAATTTTTAGTGGGTATCCAATGAAGATCTCTGAAAAGATATAAAGACATAAAGGAAGTGACAACTAGAAACATTTGAAATTATCAAGGTGAAGAGAATTCTAGGCACAGAAAACAGAAAGGCCACAGGACTAGAGTGTTCCTGGAGGGTTCTAGGCCCAGCGAAGAAGCCAATAAGGCTGAAGCAGAGTGAGAGGAGGAATGAAAGATGAGGCAAGAAGGATAAACTGTGTAAGATCTGAGGTGTGACAATTCTTAAAGTCATCTTTCTTCTCTTTAGCAAATTAATCTACCTCCCAAAGAAATCTTCAATCTCCTTCCTGGAGGATTCAAGCCTGCCTACCAGCTTTCTGAGTACCAGCCTCAGTTCTACATGCTTTCCCAGATTCTAGAGCCTCTCTCCAGAGTTCTATTTTGCCAGACAGGAAAGGGGATGTGAGAGGTCAATTAATTCCTTAATTTAGTTTTGAAGCAACTGTATTGCTTTCAGCCCAACCCTGTACCTCTGGTAACATGACGTGCTAATTCCTGTGCCTTTCACAAATTCTACAATGTGACAGGCTGCCTCTTGACAATCTAGTCCTCTGGAGGCTCAGAATTCAATTTTCTTTGTTCTAAGTCACTCATCCACCTATTTTCCATCTTCCAAAACTGTATTTTCTCTTGCTCACTGTATTTTCGGGGAGGGGGTTAGTCCTATGTTTAGTCCTTTACTGTAATTCTAATGAGATTCTGGGAGGGAGCAGAGAAAAATGTTTATTCCACTATTCTTAATCAGAAGTCCTATTTTTTAATTAAAAAAATTTTTCCTTAAATTGTTACACAGTAAAATTGCCATTTTTTTACATGTGTACAGTTCTACAAGTTTAAACCACATATACAGATAAACCACCACTACAGGCAGGACACTCAGCAATTCTGTCGCCCTAAAGAACTCTCTCACGTTGCTCTCTGCAGTCACAGTCCCTCCTCAGCCCTAGCCCCCGTCCAGCACAGTGCCTGGCTTTTCAACACTGTCACATAAATGGAATCATACAGTATATAATTTTCTGAGACTGACTTCTTTCACCCAGCATAAGGACTCAGAGACTCTCAGGTGTTGAACGTATCAACAGTGCATCCAGTTTTAATGCACAATAGCATTATTTTTAAAACTTTAGTCAAATACACATAACATGAACATGAATACCATCAATACCAGAGACACAACCATCAACAAATTGCTTTCCTTTTGCTTTTCCATCTTAACAATATCATAGATTTGTTTTCCCCTACCTTTTCCAACTCCTTCCAATCGTAATTTGTGTTTCCAATAACCATTGCTTGTAGTTCATTAGGCTGAAAGAGCTGAAGGACTTTTCCTCCACAGACCTTATGAAAGCCCGCATGAAAAGCATCAAATAAGGAAGCCACTGATTTATTGAATATGTAATCCACATAAGCATCAACAAACTCTTGTCTAGAAATGAAAAAGCACACATGCACAAAATATAAAAAAAATGTTTATAGAGAATACATATTACAGTCTTATTAAACCTCTGAGTGTTACTGTACTTTTTGCTATTTAAGTACAAAACCGAGAAAGTTGAGTAGGATTCAAGGGACAAATCTTAATGAAGAAGTCTATTATTTTTCTATATAAAAATCTGGTAGATCTAGGAGGCATGTAGACAACCTCTCATTCACAGCCATTCTTAGCTTACTTCTAAGCGAAAGATGTCCTAATGGGAAGAATGATGATGCAAATGGCTATCAAAAATATTTTTAAATTATTCACAAATTATTGAGAATGTGTATGTATCACTCTGATACATCCCTAGTATAAAGTTAAAAAATAATAGGAGATTTTTTAAAAAGAGAGAGAGCACTTTGGGATTCGGACCGTTTCACAGATTGTACAGTCTGCTTTTCCTTGGGTTTCAAAGGAATCTGATGAAGCCATTTATTTAAAAACCCAAGAGAGGCATTTAGTATTCTTTCAGGATAATCATTAAAGACTACAAGTGAAGTTTCTTTTCAAGTGTGTGTGTTCATACATATAAATACACATACAGGTGAACACTTCTGATGCTTTCCTCCCTGTTATGATACAAAAGGAAACAGTCATGAAAAAAGAAAACCCTTTACTCAGTAATTAGAACTACAGTTTTATTCCCATTTGTTCTGCTGGCCACAAACACTTTATGCAGCTATCTGGTTAAATTAATCATCAGAATGGGTGCTAAAGGATTTCAATATTTTACACTCTTGTTATCCAAATTAAAAAGGATGATTCTATAAATGGGAATACTGGTAAATTTAGTCATCTACAGATAATCACTTTAGCAAATTTTAAAATAATTCCAAACTCACTTTACAAAGAGGAAAAAAAAGGTTAAAGGGGGCCATTATAAAATAAAATTGGTGGCCCTAAGGAAAAATCAATAGCATATGCTTATCAGCATAAGGTTCTTATAAGAAGAAACAGGTAATTTCATAAGGCACAATTTTATAACTCAACTATTAATCAAATTTATACTACTAATAGTTAAGTCTCCTAAGTACAAAAGGCTAAATTGTTTTATGTGCTAACATTTTTGCATTCCACACTTTCATTATGCAACTAGGACTGGTGGTAAAAGATCAAAATTCTTTAAATTACTTCTAAACTAAATAATCTATGTGAAATAATATTTGTTAGAAACTTAAAGAATTAGTGCAACAATAGGAACTTGAAAAGTTGAAAAAAAATCTTTCTATATCATAGTCAAAGCTTTTCAAAACCAAGATTTTTTTTTAAAAAGTAGAAAGACCTAAAATTTTTCCACATTATTTTAAAAACAGTTTTATTTTTACCAAAGAAATAACATACATTTTAAAATGGCAAATAGTAATAGTCCTAACAGCCAACATTTACTGAGCACATACACGTGCTAGGTACTATTCTAAGCATTTTTAAATTATGGCCACATTTAATCCTCAAAATAACCCCATGAAGTAGGTATAATATATCATCTCACCTTACAGAAAAAGAGACTGAGGCATGTAGACACCAACTTATTAACCTAAAGTTACACAGCTTCTAAATAACAGAATCAGGATTATAATCATCTGGATCAAGTCTCTGGCAATTTGAAGAAAACTACTTGTTAACTCTGTCATTCCTTCTGGTATTTACCTTCAAACTTTAACAACAGAGTTCTGTTATTCCTTGATCTACCTTGATCTACAATTATAAAAATTATCTGATGAACTGAATACTGAATATTGGGTTAAATATTCATTGTTAACATTTTTAAATACTAAGTTAGGGAGTGTTCTACAATTACTTTTCTAAAGAAGAATTTTTGTGTCCCTCAGGTTGCTATCTCAACTCCAACTTCAACAGAAATGTCAATCTGCTTTAGATTCATTCAAATATACTAGGTTGCATTTTTTTCCTGAAGACATTCCTCCTAGAGCCCTCCATCTTCCTTATCTAACGCAGATTGATAGTTATTTCTAAATCTTGTGCACACCACTGTTTCTCTTTGTCTCTCTCTCTCTTTTTTTTGATCCCTTTTCCCTCATTCGTGGTTCAATTCCTTGTTTTGGTAGGACACATCCTCTAGTAACTTCTTGAGAAAACTGCATTGGAAGTAAATTCTCTGAGACTCTGCATATATAAAAATATTTTTACATACCACATACTTGTATGTATGGATGTGAGAGTTGGACTATAAAGAAAGCTGAGCGCCAAAGAATTGATGCTTTTGAACTGTGGTGTTGGAGAAGACTCTTGAGAGTCCCTTCGACTGCAAGGAGATCCAACCAGTCCATTCTAAAGGAAATCAGTCCTGAAAGTCAGTTCACTGGAAGGACTTATGTTGAAGCTGAAACACCAATACTTTGGCCACCTGATGTGGAGAGCTGACTCATTTGAAAAGACCCTGATGCTGAGAAAGACTGAGGGCAGGAGGAGAACGGGACGACAGAGGATGAGATGGTTGGATGGCATCACGGACTCAATGGACATGAGTATGAGTAAACTCTGGGAGTTGGTGATGGACAGGGAAGCCTGGCGTGCTGCAGTCCATGGGGTCGCAAAGAGTCAGACACGACTGAGCAACTGAACGGAACTGAACCACATATTTGGTAGTTTCAATATAGAACTCTGTTTAAAATAATTTTCTCCCAGAATGCTGATCTCCTAACTTCAGTGTTAATCTTTATAAATCTGATATTATTTTGATTCTTAATTCTTTGTGTATGGTCTATTTTTTTTTTCCCTGAAAGGTTTCAGGGTTCGTTTTTTTTTCAGGTTGTGAAATTTCGTGTAATTTTGCTTTGTATCATGTTTTTTTTTTTCAGTTTCCATGCTGTCATTCTTAAAAGGCATGTCATTCAGTTCTGGAAATTTTGGGGGGTACCATTTGACAAATTACATTCATTCCATTTCTTCCAATTAAATTTTTTCAGTTTTTAATATTATCCTCATGGATGCTACTCTTACCAGTTTGAGGATACTGATTTCAATTTTTATTGACGTTTCTTCATCCTGCACAGTTTCTGTTTCTCTGGCATTGTTTTACCATTTTGGTCTTTTCTGAAATGTCTACTGATCTTTCATTATTCATTTACATTTAAAAGTTAGGCAGTTTTCCCAGAGAAGAATCTTCCAATACACAGTGTCAAGGAGGAGAGAGCTGCAGACTTTCACTTAATCTTCGTGTTTTCACTTCAGTGCTTTGCCTAACTGTCCTCAAATCCACAGTTCCTTTAGTTTGATCGGTAAATTTCCAGTCTGCCCAGCTGGAGAGGGAAATTTGTTAGGCCACGTGTGCACTATGGGAAATAGATCTCTAACTGCTTCTTATAACAGCCAATCTCTGTTTCCAGTTTCCCCTTAAAATCCATACACTTTTTAACCTATTTTCTTATTCTCAATGCCTGAACTATTGTTCTGCAATATGAACTGTCTGCCTTCATGGCTCCTAGTCCATCTCGAGCTGCAGCTTCTTCTGGCTGGCTGAAGTTAGGTACCACTGGTTTCTAGCTTCCAAAAATGTGTCTGTTGTTGTCTCCCCTTCCTTCTCATTGTTCCTGTTGATAATGATCTTTTTGTCCCTTTATTAATGTCTTACCAGGAGCAAAAGAAAGATTGATTACGTCCTTACCATTCAAAGAGTAAATTTATCTGAGTAAAAACTTAAGACTGTGACATATTTCTAAATACAGAAGAAAATGCCTACTGAATCTTATTACTACCACTGATGCTGCTATAAGCCACTTACCGATTTTGTTTGTTAACAGCTGTGTCTGCACCATTTAGAACCAGTTCTTTCACTTCTGTTGCACCAAAGTTTTCAACTGTGATCTATTAATTTAAATTTTTAAAAAAAGTCAATGTCAGACTCAAAACTTATTATTTTAATAACCTATTATAATCTACCTTTCTCTCATTAAATATAAGAAATAATAAGTTTGAGGTAAAATTCCGGTAGCATAAGCTTATTTGTGAATTCTGCATGAAGACACAACTAGAAATTTTCATCTTCTCTAGCAGTTTGAAATCCTACCTTGACTAATTACAAATTAATAAGGTTTTGGTTTGTTAATAACAGGAAACGGAGTAATTATCCCGTGTAAAACTTCAGAAGGGTCACTACAGGAGTAAAATATTAGGAAGGATGTTTTCCTTGGACAAGTAATAGACTCCAAGTCAGAATGCATTCAACTTTGGAACAGCTATGCATTCTTCCCACATGACAGGTGCCACTCTGATATTCCTTCTTGTTGCGTTCTTAACTACAGGTGGTTCTTCCAGTTTGCCATTAATTTGGTTTATGAAGAGTCATTTGTTTTGAAATTTCTTATTTCCCTTACTAGTGTGCTCATTTTCCTATACAGGTTATCATTCCCACCTCTGCATCTTTCCTCTTCCCATTCCCTCTTTTTTTGGGAATATTACTCTCTTCTATTAACTTTTTTTTTAGTACCTGTTTATAAAACACTATACTAGGAGTGGGATGATAAAAGATGAATAAATCCCTGCTCTGGAATTTGCTACCCAATAAAGAAGGAGAAATGTGATATGTAAACAACTCATTAAAAATAAATGCTAAAATAGAGACATGAACAAAATACTATTAGGCCATGGAAGAAAGGAAGCTTACTTCTAACAGAGAAAGTATAAGAAACCATGAGGAAGAAATGTCATTTGAAAAGCATCTAAAAGGATGAGTAAGGCTTTGAAAGATTAGGAGAGGACAGAATTTCTGACTAAGGACAGTGATTGAACAAAAGGATAGACAGACCTAATATCAAAAAAACGCATGCCCCTAAAAAACAAGGAAGCTGAGGCATATAAAAGAATACTGTGAGACATGACAAAACTTAGTATGAATGGAAGGATACAATGGAAGTTAGAAAGCCAGATTACAAATGATTTGAACTCCATTCTAAAGCTATTATTCTGTAAGTAGCAAAGAGCCGCTGAGTGTGTCTGGGAAAGAAATGACAGTGGGAAGGAATGTCTGAATTACTATATAGCTCTTACTAAACATTCACAAACTTAATGACTGATCAATTAAACTGCTTAGAATTCAATGCTTCTGTCAATTGAGATGTTCAGTAAAGATCCAAAGAAAACTGACAGGGTTATTAAGTGCATCAACTGAAAAGAACTAAAATTTCATAGTAAATATGAATTCAAGGACGACTTTTTCTTGAAAAAAGTTAAACATTACTAAAAGAAATTAACCTATTTCCCTTTAAACCTATCAAATTTCTTATAACTGCACTATGTGCCAATTCTTAAAATGACCAAAGAATGGACATTTTTGAGGGGGCACATAATTTTTTTGGCAAACTGTATGATACAAGAATATGGCATCTTTTGTTAGCTTTGACTATAAAAACACAAAGAGAACAGTTTGAGGGTATGGGGGGCGAGGGGAGGAGGGTACATGACGTTTTTGATAAAAATAGACAGGAAAAAAGAAAAACTGAAGGCTTTTACCATTTTCCCAAGAGTCTAATATATAGTATTCAAACAGTTACTTCTGAAGTGCCTTATCATAATCCTTGCTGATTTTTCTCTCTTTTAATTATCAACTAGTCTACTTCTGCCAGATCCTCATTTATCAATGTTTCTGCATAAAGACTAGATGATTTATTGAACATCCCTCTCACTGAATTAAATTCTACATCTTTTTTAAGATTAGTAATTTCATTTTCCAAATAATATTTCAATGTATTTCCATTTATATTGCACTGCATCCAAGAGTAATACAAAATTTACAAGGATGAATGTTAGTATAAAAGGGATGTCTGAGCGGGAATTAATATTTTAGATGGCAAATTCATTAGTGGATATTCTCACATTACAATAACCTTTGCTTCTCTATTCTTGTGATTGCAGACTCAAAAAATGAACACTTGTATAAAGAGGACCCCTTGTATCTGTAAAGATCTTTAGTATAATGTTAAACAACACAGGCTTATCCAGTCACAGAGCTGGATACAAATACTATCTCTGAAATGTGACAACTGTTTTCAGTTTTCTCATCTGTAAAATAAGGATAATAATACCGATCTCTTGGGATTATGAGGATTAAATGAAATAATGCATGTGACTAGCATATAGTTAATGCTCAATAAATGTTAGCTAAAGGGTTCTTTAAGAATTCCATTCATCAAAATAAAAACCATAAGGCATAGCCGATAAATAAAAGGGATTATGAACAATCAAGCTACTACTCTATGTCTTTCCATCTTACCGTAAAATTAAGACAAAATGTCTCTTCAACATCATCCTCGGGATAGTCCAGTAACTGTTGCATGCTTCTGAAAAACAATATGTATGTTGCTCTGAAGTAAAATATAATAATTGTGTATTTTGACTAATTTGCCTATGACTAGGTATATATTTCTCACTCATTCTTGGTCAAATCCTTTTGCTAATTTGTACTTTTATGTTTGTTTCAGAATGGTGGTTGTACAAGCAAATCTATAAACAATGTTGAAGAAAAAAAAAACTAAGATTTTTTTTATCTCTTCCTTTGAATAAAAAGGCCATGTATCCACCCATTTTCAATATCTGTTCTTACATGTATGTTTTAGGGCTTCCCCGGTGACTGAGATGGTGAAGGATCTGCCTGCAACGCAGGAGACCCTGGTTCAATCCCTGGGTCATGAAGACCCCCTAAAATGGCAACTCATTCCAGGATTCTTGCCTGAATAATCCCATGGACAGGGGAGCCTGGTGGGCTGCAGTCCATGGGCTTACAAAGAGTTGAACACAACTGAGTGACTGGCAGATTTATAAACAATGCTGAAGAGAAAAAAACTAAGGTTTTTACCTCTTCCTTTGAATACAAAGGCCATGTATGCACCCATTTTCAATACTTGTTCTTACATATAATTTTTTATTCCATTTAATGTAATAAAAAGAAACTACATATTCTACCTAGGAATGAAGGCAATTAGAAGTAAAAGTCCAAATAAATTATTTAACTACATTCAGGAAACATTACCTTCCTAAATTTATTATCTGATATTCACAAAGTATTGTTAAACTAAAAATTTAGCACATGGCTTTATACATATAACTCTTTCAGTATAAAATTCTCACAATGGCTTTTTCCTTTATTAGAAGAGCTATTAGTTTTGAAAATTCAACAAGAACAACAGAAACATAATTATTCCTAAAAACAAACTTCTATACCTCCCCCATTCCTTATTTTCTAAACCCCATTCTTGTCACTTTTTACAACTAACCTCCCAACATCAGGGACCAGTTCTTTCAAATCTTCCAGGGATGGCTTCTTTTTCAGCAGTTTCTTATATAAAGCCAAAGGAAAATGGAGGTCCACAATAGTAAAATTATAAATTGCTAATCCACAGATAACACCAATCAAGTGGAATAAATCACTGTCTTCAAATGTCTGAAAATACAGAAAAAATTAATGAATAACAAGAAAAAAGTGCATTCTCATTCCTATCTCCCTGGGGCAATATTATTGTTAGTATTTTTGCACATTTTCATTCAGTGTACTTTCTAGGAGAGACAAAATTAAAATCCAGTTGAGATGATACTATATATATAATTTCACAACTAACTTTACCCCCAGAAATATAATCATTTTCATATCACTAAGCATTATATTAATAAATGATTACTAGAACTTTTTTCTGATTTAAAAATTATACACATTCAAAATTTGAAAAATAAAAAGCTTATGGAAGAAACTGAATTAAATACCCATAACTCAATGACTTAGAAACACCTGGGACAATGATTTTAGAAGTTTTTAATGTATTTCTGTCTACTATAAGTTCAGAAAAATAATATAAAACATATTCAAGGTTTTCTCATTTTTCTAATTACAACACAAGTATTTTCTTATGTCATTACTCTTCCAGAACATGATTTTTAATGGCTGCATATTAATAACATAAAAGTATCATGGCTTGCTAAATTAGCTATTAAGGCTTGCTAAATTAGCTATTAATAACTATAGTTGGACATCTAGATAATTAAAATATTAAAAACAATGCTTGTTTCCTTCAGTAATCTTTAAAGAATTAAAGATTCAATGATTTTTAAAGAATTAATATACGGTCACAGGAAAACTCTGTGAGCATGTAATTAACAGCAAGAAAATTTTAAATTAGATCTGGGGCTCCAGGCACAGTTCATTCACTATAGAGTCTCAGTGTTCTCAAGACACAAGCTGTATTAATCTTATAAGGTTATTGTGAGGATTAAGTGGAATAATATATGTAAAATGCTTTTAGCATAGTTCTTACAGCACACAGTAAAGGTTCAATAAATATTCTAATTAGCTAGTAATTTTCAAAATAAGATGGGTATCTTTTTTGCATATATATATATGTATATGTATATATACTGGTCCATAGTTTGAAATATTTCCATAGAAGAAATTCTGCTTTGCAAGGAAGAATTTCAAAGTCAAAGGAATGCTAAGCATACCATAAAAACTCTTTTCCTCCACCACTGTTCTAGCTTATACTGCCGTTGTAATCCAGGAAAATGACTATCTTTCTACATTTTCATCTAAATACACACATAAAATATATTTGAGTTAAAAAATGACAAGCTGTTTCACTGTACATTTTTTACTACTAGTGATACTAAAAATTATAGACTTGTGTGTGCTTTTGAAAAGTCTTTTTGTGTACTTGGCCCATTTATCTTTTAGGGGCTAGTGTTTTCTTATATGTTTATATTTGAATACATCATATGTTAGGGTTATTACCCTGTGTCATATTCAGTACATACATGCCTTTTATGTTTTGTTATCTCATATTTTTCATTGGTCAGATTTATCTTTTTCTTCTGTGATGTCCCTACATTGTATTGAAGTTCAAAAAGTCCTTAAATAGGGCAGACTGAATATGTGTTAATATCTCTTCTTCCAGAAATCCCTCCAGATGAGAATACAGGAATAAATGGCATAAATTCACAAGAAAAAAGAATAGGGAAGAGTTTCAACAGCACAAAAGAGATCTCATTATCTCAAAACATGAAAATAAGTCTCTGGTTTGATTTGGTGAAGCAGAAAAAACGGAAACAGTAGCTTGCAGAGAAAGCCAGTAAAAAAAAACGCAAGCTCATCTATGCCGCAGGCTCAGGACCGATAGGGCCAGTCTCTCCCTGTGAAGTCAGAGGTACTCCAGCAGCTCAGCCAGTGAAACCTAACTCTGCGAGTCACGTATCAGAGAGGGGCTGACAACAGGATGCTTGACGGGAGAAGCCTTTGACTTTCTAGAAAGGATGAATCAAAGAAGCTCTGGAATCTGAGACAACTGATGCTTGGGGTCCTGCTTCAAAAACAAAGGGATCAAACGGAAGTCTACACAGTGAACAACAGGAATCCTAGCTTCCCTTTCCAGTGTCTAGAACACTACTAGAACATTGTAGCCAGGGCTACAACCTTCCCTGTAAACATAAACAGTAAAAAACTTAAACATGCTGACATATGCAGGTTCACCCTTGAAAGACCTCTACCTAATCACTTTACGAGTGGGGTCCATAAACATAAATGGTTTAGTGCATATGACCATACACAAAAGTATCTAGGTAGCATTTCAGTGTCACACTCTAAAATAATAAACAGCCAAGAATTATAAGGAAAAGACAAAAGAGACAAACACAAGAAAACTGGATGAGTAAGAAACAAAACCAACAAATGATGAATTTTAAATGGTTACATTTTAAAAGAATAAAGTCATAAAATAAACCTTTACAGGACATAATGGAATGAAACTAGAAATCAACATAGAAGGAAATATGGAAAATTAACAGAGACGTGGAGATTAAATAACACATTTTTTAAAAAACCCATTAGTCAAAGAAGGTACCACCACAAGGGCAATCAGAGGATACTTGGACTCCTAAAAATGAAAACACATCATCAAAAAACTTGTGGAAGACAGGGAAAGCAGTGTTCAAAAACAAATTTTTATAGTTGTAAGCATCTAAATTTAAAAAGAAACAATACCTCAAATAAATAACTTTATATCCTAAGGAACTACAAAAAGAAGAGTAAACCGAACTCAAACCTAGCAGACGGGGAAATCAGTAAAAGTTAAAGTAGAGATCAACAAAATTAACAAACCTCTATTAGAGTGACCAAGAAAAAAACAGAGAAAACTTACTAGATTCAGGACTGGAAATGTGGACATTACTACTGACTTTATTTAAAAAAAAAAAAAAAAGGATTATAAGACAATAATGAGTAATTAGGCCACAACTATGAATAACTGAATGCCACCAAAATAGATAATATAGATGAAATGGATAAATTCCTACAAAACACACAAACTTACATAAGAAGAATTAGAAAACCTAAAGAAACTTTTAACAAGAGATTGAACCATCAATCAAACACCTTCCAACAAAAGCCTGAGACCAGATTCTACCAAACATTTAGAAGAATTAACATCTATCAATCTCAAAGTCTTAGAAAAGGAAGAGAAACAGTTCTTAACCTCATTCTATGAGGTTAGGGATACCATGATAACAAAGCCAGACAAAGACATCTCTCTCACACACACACCCCCCCCAAAGAAAACCATAAAGCAGTATTCATAATAACAACAGAATAATTGTCAACAGAATACTAGCAAACTGAATCCAGCAGCATATATAAAGAATTACACACCATGACCAAGTCCAGGAATGCAAGGTGGTTGAACATAAGAAAATCAACCAATGTAATACAACACATAATGGAACGAAGGAAAGAAACCACAAGATCACTTCAACTGATGCAGGAAAAAAAAAAAATCTGAAAAATAAACGACCCAATCAAAAAGTGGGCCAAAGAATTCAACAGACATTTCTCCAAAGAAGACATACAGATGGCTAACAAACACATGAAAAGATGCTCAACATCACTCATTATCAGAGAAATGCAAATCAAAACCACAATGAGGTACCATTACACGCCAGTCAGGATGGCTGCTATCCAAAAGTCTACAAGCAATAAATGCTGGAGAGGGTGTGGAGAAAAGGGAACCCTCTTACACTGTTGGTGAGAATGCAAACTAGTACAGTCACTATGGAGAACAGTGTGGAGATGCCTTAAGAAACTGGAAACAGAACTGCCATATATGACCCAGCAGTCCCATTGCTGGGCATACACACTGAGGAAACCAGAACTGAAAGAGACACGTGCACCCCAACGTTCATCACAGCACTGTTTATAATAGCCAGGACATGGAAGCAACCTAGATGCCCATCAGCAGACATACGGATAAGAAAGCTGTGGTACATATACACAATGGAGTATTACTCAGCCATTAAAAAGAATACATTCGAGTCAGTTCTAATAAGGTAGATGAAACTGGAGCCTATTATACAGAGTGAAGTAAGCCAGAAAGATAAACACCAATACAGTATACTAATGCATATATATATGGGATTTAGAAAGATGGTAACAATAACCCTGTATGCGAGATAGCAAAAGAGACACAGATGTATAGAACAGACTTTTGGACTCTGTGGGAGAGGGCAAGGGCGGGATGATATGGAAGGATGACATTGAAAAACATAAATTATCATGTGTGAAATGAACTGCCAATCCAGGTTCTGTTTCTTTTTCTTATCTAGTGGCCCTGCCTAGAACTTCCAATGTTTTCAAATGCAAATAGTGAGAGTGGACACGCTTCTCAATTTTTCCTGATCTGAGTGGAATGTTAGCTGTGGATTTTCATAAACTCCTTGAGTCATGTTAAGGAAATTCACTTATATGCCTAGTTTGTTGAGTTTATTTATCATGAACGGGTGTTAGATTTTTTTTTTCAGTTTTATTTATTAACTTTTTAACTTTACAATATTGTATTGGTTTTGCTATACATTGACATGAATCTGCCATGGGTATACATGTGTTCCCCCCTCCCACGTCCCTCCCCATCCCATCCCTCAGGGTCATCCTAGCGCACCAGCCCCGAGCACCCTTATCATGCATTGAACCGGATTAAGAAAACAATTCCAGTTACAGCAGCATCAAAAAGAACAAAATAATTAGAAATAAATATAACCACAGAAGTGTAAGACTTGTACACTGAAAACTACAAAATGGTGCTGAAAGAAATTAAAAGACCTAAATAACTGGAAAGATATTCCATGTCCATAGACTAGAAGATAATACTCCCCAAACTGATGTACAGATTCAATGTATTCTCTAGCAAAATCTCAATGGTCTTTTTTTTTTTTTTTTTTGCAGAAATGGAAAGCTAACTGTAGAATTCATACAGAATTGCAAAGGATTCCTAATAGTCAAAAGAATCTTGAATAGGAAGAAGAAAGTAGGAGAACTCACACATTGCAATCTGAAAATCTACAAAACTATAATAAACAAGACAGTGTAGTACTAGCATAAGAATAGACATATACATTTGAATAAAATTGAGAGTC